GCAAATTTTTTAGTTTTAAGATCTTATTATTAAAACACCTACTAAATAATTTTTATAATACTATCTTTTCATGAAAAAAAGAGGGAAAGAAAAAAATAATAATATTGTCAGCAGCGGTGATCTTCTCTTATCCTCAATTATTGAGGCTCGCAGCGAGAAATAAGAGAACGAAACCCACGTTTACCTTGATGTAGTAATCTAGAGTGAAGTCGAGAATTAACTTCAACATGTTTCTGCATTTGTTTACCTTAAAAAACATTGTCTCTGCATTTAGAACAATATGATAAACATTATTTATTGGGGGAAAAAAAACAGTTTGGCTGTGAAAATATGATGATGTGAACTGTTTGGTTTTGCGGTTGGTTGGAAAGTTTTCTTTGTAAAATTTTTATATATTTTTAAATTATTTTTTTATGTTTTTTTGTAAAAATTTTATATATTTTTAAATTATTTTTTTATATTTTAAAATAATTTTAATGTATTAATATGAAAAAAACATTATTTTAGTATATTTTTAAATAAAAAATATACCAAAACTGGCTGCCTAACTAAGCATACTTGACTCCTTGGATTCGTCGACGATGGGACACAACAGATCAACAAGTGGCCGGGTGGGTATTATTTTTCTTCTTCTTCTTTCAAATCAAATTAAAAGCATGCGTGCATGCATCCACAGCGGGACTATTAATTTTGGCCTGAATGTAAGGTTGAGTAAAAAATTAAAAAAACCAAATCAAAAAAAAAATTAACCGATTGAAAAATTCAAAACAATTTATAGTTTGGTTTGATTTTAATTTTAAATATTTAAAACTGATTGAATCAGAAAAAACCAAATAACTCTTAAAAATATCTATAAAAAAATAATATAAATAATCACTAATCTAAACCTTAAAGCAATACTCGCAGCCACCCCACCTTTCTCTCCACCTCTCTACATTATCTTATCCATCACTCACATTCTTTTCTCCCTGTAGCATGTTAAAAGCCTTTCCCTGTAGCATGTTAAAAGCCTCTTGACCATAGTTGAAAAGATCAATTTTAAATGATCCATTTCATATACATGTCTAGCACCTTTATTAACTAAAATCACCAAAACGAAGCTCAATGAGTTACCAACCATCTTATTAGCGACACCTACGTGCTTGTTCGATATCAGATCTTGATCCTGTTTTTCCAAGCCTGGCTGTTTCTTGCTCCCATCAAAATTTCATGTTTTGAGGCTAATTTCTTTTCGGAGTTGTAAATTGTAACAAATTCATAAACTGTACTTTTTACTTCATTTAAGTTAAACTACATCTAGGATATGTCAATATGCTTCTTTTTCAAAAATAAAAACTAGAGTGAAAAAAAGAAGCATTTACTCTAGTTTTTATTTTTCTTAATATTTTGTGGGTTTTTGCTTTTTTTCATTATGTTGTAATCCATGACCTTGTTTTGCTTGTCTTATAAATGGAATTCAATCATATCGTGATCATGTAAATTGAAGCAAATTATTGAACAGCAGAAATGGGATTTGTTTTTTAATTTTATTGGTTTTTGAACAATAAAAACTAAATTGAATTGAACTGAAATCAATCAATTTAAATTAATTTTAGTTTGATTTTAATTTTAAATTTTTAAAAATAATAATTTTAATTAAATTAAATATTTTATATAAAAACTAAATTAAATTAAAAATAATCATCCTTACTTGAAGGTTGAACAAAACAAGCAGGTGATTTGGTCATAGGTAGTAGTAGAAGGCGATCATTTCCTATCATAGAGGACCATTTCCAAAATAATCGCATCCTCAGGCCTGTCTGTCAGCATGGAGACTGGAAACTCATTTTCGGCAACAAACAACCTGACAAAGTATAGTTTGCATGTAGTGCTTACATGCTGCATCCATGCATGTGAATGCTTCTCTTCCAGTGTTCAATTATTAAGGCTTAACAATGACTGTTTAGGGTGTGATGGTAGTGGTTTTATAAAATATATTTTTATTTAAAAATATATTAAAATAATATTTTTTTATTTTAAATAAATTTATCAAAATAATTTAAAACACTAAAAAAATATTAATTTAAAATAAAAATAAAAATTTAAATTTTGTTAAAAATATTTTTATAATACAAAAATAAACAGAAATATTTATCTTAAATTGTATAGTTTGAATTGTCACAGGGGCTGTTTATCTGTTATATCGGTTATTTAAAAAAAAATATATATATTAAATTTTATCTCGCATTCTTTCATTTAAAATAAAATAAAATATTAAATTTTATCTCGCATTCTTTCATTTTAAAAAAAAAAAAACTAGAAAGGTTCGTGAGTCCCATCAGCAGCTAACATCAATACAGAAGCATCATGACATAACCCATCTCTCCTGTGGGTCTTCTTAATTGGCTGTCTTCGTGTCTTCTAGCGCGTTAAATTAATCTGACAAATACTCGAGGTAAATCTTGTCAGAACTCCAACTTTTACGCAAATAGTTGGTGTCTGAATATCATGGCTTGCTTCGGTAAAGAACAAAACCCATATTCCAATTTTATTTCCAAATTCTATTTGTCATATTCAGTTCAATTTCTTACCAAAGTAGACAAGTGGACCGTTTATATGTATTTATTTTTCATTTGTTTTGCAAGAATAGCCGTTTACATGGTGTATAAGTGATAAAAACTTGAAATTAAAAAATTTATTTCTTTTATAATTTTAAGTTCGAGTTTTTTATTATTTATATGATAATTAATGAAGGCTTATATAATAATTAATTTCAGAGTTTATGAGATTAACCGTAGTACGTACAAACTGATTTAAACATCCACATTAATCTATATAAAAAAAAAAACTACTAAGCTTTCCATTAATCTAAAATCGCACCATTTTTCCTTGCAAAACACTGATAATATGTAATTTGAATTTTAAAGGGATTTGAAACAGGAAAAGAAGAAGAAAAGAACATATCGTACGTGGGAAAAATAAGTGCAGGTTGCCATGTTGAAGCTGTGAGAAAAATGGTTTTGAAAAATAATTATATTCCATTGGGACATAATTTATTAGATCTTGCTAGGGTCGCAGGTTAACCTGCCGAGTTGACTAAGTCATTACACCTACCGGTCTTTTAATAAAATTAAAACCAATCTAGCTCTTAATTTGACCGAGTTTCGGATGAATCCACTAAGCAAATTCAGATTTTATAACTATGCATTAAAGTACTGCTTGGGACATTCGAGTTACCAGTTTTTTAAAAAAAAAAAAAAAACAAGAAGAAGAAAAAGAGAGTAAGAGGCCATCTAATATTAATATTTAATATTAAAAATTATGAAAACATATAAAAATTGTTAAAAATTCAAAAAACATGAGAAAAATCACATAGAAATGCAATTTTTTATTTTTTTTAAAATATAAAATTAAAGAATCAAAATTATATATATATATATATCGAAGTATTATGTGATATAGTTGTAATATTTATGGGATAATTTTTGTCTCATTAAAAGTGAGCACAATGATATGGCATTTTGTGTTGTTTATTGAACCTGCTAGCTGTTCTCATGGGGTCGATAGAGCTTTACGTCATGATCAACCATGAAGGGTGATTTAATTGGTTCATAGACTTCATGATAGTTTCAATTTCTTTAACGGTGTCCCATGTCAGAGTCTAATTTTGATTCTTTAATCCTGCCTTATAATATGACAAGAATTATCCCTCAATTTTATAATTTTTTGAGGAGGTTAACAAACCCGTGCTTGTTTGTGAGTGTCTCCCATAATCAAATTATTTAGTAATGTAGAAGACAAATTTTATTATTTTTAATTTATTTATTTTAATTGTAGTATTTATTTTAAGATTTAGTTAAATTTTTTTAAATTTGACAAGTTCTTTATTAGCAATTTTAATATTTTATTTTATTCAGCTACCACGTTTGCTAAAATTTTATTTTTTAAGATCTTTATTTAATAAAAATTTATAATAGAATTTTGAAGCAACGTTAAAATAAAATAATAAAAAAAATTATAGTTTTGAAAGCTTCATATAGCCATGTCCGGTTTTTATTTTAAACATTAAAATAAAAATTAATAAATATCCTTATCCAGCTATCTATGCATCATTTAATATCTTTCCCTAAATTTTTCTTTTCTAGAGAAATAAAAATATATATATACATACATGCCATGTAAATATTTTTTTAGTTTTGTTAAAAAATATTAGAAAATAATATAAATCATGTATATATACATACATGCGATCCTAAGGTCTTACCTAACAGCTTAAGCTTTTAGGTGAGATGGTTCTTTGACATGGTATCAAAGCCTTAATAACCAAACGGTCACGAGTTCGAATCTCATCATCCTCATTTATTTGATAAAAATTAAGCACAAGCTCACCATCCTTATTTATTTGATAAAAATTAAACACAAGGTAATGTGGGCCTGTGCAAGTTTCAAGCTCAAAATCCTTTCACTTGAAAGGGTGTGTTAAAGAATAATATAAATTATATTTTAGGGTTTTAACTAACAGCTTAAGCTTTTAAGTGAGATGATTATTTAATAAAAAAAAAATAGAGAAAAAAAAAAGTTCTTAGAAGAAAAAAAAAAAGGTTCTTCAAAATGCATTATTAACCTCATCTTTTTTCTATATTATGGGGGTAAAAGCCACTCTGTTTTGAGATGAATGAAAGCAAACGAAAGGCCGTCGAGCATCCAGACTCATTACAGATCATGAATCCACCATTCGGAGATTATCAATCAATCCATAAAAGAAGCATATATTATACAATCATGGGGCCTGCCATGCCAATCCTTGACTTGGATGCCTAAGAAAAAAAAAAAGAGGCAGGAGCACCTTGCATCTACTTTCGTCTCTGTAAGTCACTAATTCCAAGAAAAACATGGGATGACAGGTTTATTTACCATATACTGTTACGATCAAAACAAAAGCAACCAAAGATTAATTTAAATGGCATAAATACATTTGCATGCTGCATCTTCATTTCATTTCATTTGAAATCCCCCCCCCCCCTCTCTCTCTCAGCATCATCTTTTTGGGGCTTCTGCACTACCTTCGACATGGGAGAAGCTCAGGAAGTTCAACTTCACATCATGGGTGAGTCAGCTCTCTCTAATTCTTGATGTGTAGAACTTTTTATCAAAGAGAATATATATATATATATCGCAATTTCATCAATGTTCCTCTGTTTTAACTTCTTTCACAAGTGTATATATGGGAATTAATGAGGTGGAAAGGTCATGAGATCTGCAATAAGCCTACATTTAGCAGTAGTACTATTAAGAGTACATAGTCACCCTGGAATCATTGGTTATTTATGATGAAAGAAATACGCATCAAATTTCTTCGAAGAGAGATATAGCAAAGCAAAAGGAGAGTAGGATTCTTTTACATTTTTTGTTATACAGCTAGGCAGCTATACTGGTTTTCCCTGCAAATCTCCAGGTGAAATTCTGCCGGCGAAAGCTCGTCTCCTAGGTAGTCGTTGTAAATTCTCTTTCCATGGAGGAGGCTTTTCAGGGTCTTTGTCTTGGAGATCTATTTAATAAGTTCCTATGAATCATGTTTTTGGCCTGCAACAAGGTTTTGGTTTTTTAAGCGCCCAACTTGGGGGATACCGACATGCTCAAATATATTATTTTCAAATAAAATCATGTATTCTCGTACACTAGCTGACTTGTCCGATATCTGTTCTTATTATCAGACCAAGAAGCTAAAGATCAAATAAACTTACCTCAATATACAAGTATCACCGATCAGTGCTCAACGGCTCCACAAACAAGAAACTACAGGCGGTGGATCGGCATAGCAATCTGTACAGTCTTGCTCCTGGTTGGACAGTCAGTGGCTATGCTTTTGGGAAGATTGTACTTTGTTAAAGGTGGAAACAGTAAATGGATGGCAACACTAGTCCAACTTGCAGGCTTTCCGGTTCTTATTCCCTTCTATCTCATCTCAACTACCAGTAAACCCAGCACAAATGATAGCCAAATAAAATCACCATCTGTCACAACACTTCTATTGATTTACGTATCGATTGGACTGCTTGTAGCAGCAGGCTGCTATCTATACACTATTGGACTGCAGTACCTTCCTGTGTCCACTTACACCCTCATCTGTGCATCTCAGTTGGCCTTCAATTCTGTCTTCTCCTTTTTGCTCAATGCACAGAAGTTCACACCATTTATAATCAATTCTCTAGTCCTCCTTACCATCTCCTCTATCCTACTTGTCTTTAATAATGAGTCTTCAGACGGCACTTCTGGAGTCTCCAAAGCAAAATATGCTATTGGTTTCACATGCACTGTTGCTGCTTCCGCGGGGTACGGACTGGTGCTCTCTTTGACACAGCTCTGCTTCAACAAGGTTATAAAGAGGCAGACATTTAAGGTAGTCCTCGACATGATAATCTATCAACAAATAGTAGCGACTTCTGTTATTGTAGTTGGACTTTTTGCTAGTGGAGACTGGAAGGGTCTAACAAGAGAAATGGATGGGTATAAAATGGGAAAGGTTTCCTATGTGATGAACTTAGTTGGGACTGCCATATCTTGGCAGTTTTTCGCGATTGGCTGCGTTGGATTGATTTTTCATGTTTCTTCCTTGTTTTCCAATGCCATAAGTGTTTTGGGATTGCCTATTGTTCCAGTCCTAGCTGTGTTCGTATTCAATGACAAAATGGGTGGTGTGAAGGCAATTTCGATGGTGTTGGCTATCTGGGGTTTCATTTCCTATGCCTATCACCACTATCTAGACGACCGCAATTGCAAGGATGAAAAAAGAAATGCCGATGAGGTTTCTAAAGCTCTCATGCTGGAAAGCTAACTGGTGTCTACGATCTATGGGAGCCTGGAAGTTGATCGGTGACAGATTTCCATGTTTACATACAATTCGGGTGCCTCTGTCATGTCCTAAAATGTAGTTTTCTACCATGTAGCAGACCTGTAAAACAGTTAAGCTAGGAGTGCTGTAAAAGAGCATGAATGATCAAATTATACGAGCATATTGGAAGGATTGCTGAGTATGAATTGGTTTAGGTCTATCTGCTGGAAACAATGTAACATGTTAATTGAGTAGCAGGGACTAAAAGATCTATCACTGAATCTCACGAGACTAATCACTTATCAGGATTGCATTTGCATGTGGATGTGGATGTGGATGACCTCTCATAGCAATTTAAAACTGCAATTGGTGCTGTGTAAGAATTATCATTAATGCTTAGCCATCCCTGCTGACCAGTTGGTCCATTCTGTTAAGAATTTGAACCTTCCGCTTCTCTCATTAAGGCTTCCCGCTCGAATGTGGACAAAGATTGGCCATATGATGTGCTAAAGTGAAAGTACGTAGTCAATAAACTACATAGCTTTTGGACTAGGAAAAAGTAGATGGTTTTCTGATATGGGAATTCGGCCCATGAATATTTGAGAGAACGATCTAGTGTATAAATTCATAAGATGAACTGAAACTTTGTTATCCTTGAATTTGATTTTGCTTCTCAAAGTTCACAGAGGTGAGTTTTATTTTGTGCTTGATTGACAACCCTTCCAACATTTATAGCTGAACAGTGCTTTAATGTGTGTGCCCTTATCCTATCTAAACTTCTCCTTGTTTATGCGATATCCCGAATGACCTCAATGTTTTTTCTACTTGCATTCAAGGTATTGCATGATCAATCCACCTGTTTTTTAATCTTAGCTCTGCAAGCTCATTACGTGTTAGAAAATTTTGTTTAAAAACATGGTTAATCTTCATATTTGAAATCAAATTGAAAATAAAATATATTCTGATGGATCGGCGTTTATTGCTTTTTGTCTGTTTGTTTGTTTGAAATTTGAAATTGCTCTCTAATGAACTAATTATGAAGAGGTTAAGATCCACAATCTAGTAAATTATTAAACTCATTATCTATGGACGCAACAAAGCACTGAGTCCAAATACCTGTAAATTTAACAAATTATGAGACTCATCATCTACAAACGCAGACAAACGCTGAGCCAAACTCATTATCTATGGACGCAACAAAGCGCTGAGTCCAAACACCTGTAAATTTAACAAATTATGAGACTTATCATCTACAAACGCAGACAAACGCTGAGCCTAGACACCTATAAAACTAGTGAGTCGCCAAACTCATTATCCCAGGATGTAGCTAAGCGTTGACTCTAGATCGAATTGTAGATCATATATATTTTATCCTTATGAGACATGTCAATCTTTCCCTTATAAGAAAGAGAAGAACATAAAGGGCTATAAAAGAAGAAAATAAAGATGATCATGTTAGATTAAAATTTTTCTCTATGCTTTAACAATAGCAATTCTATCTTAATAGAAAAACTCTTAGTCAAAGGGATAATTGATTTTTCTTGAATCAATTCTAATTCAATCATCGTAGAGTTCCTAAATAAATAAAAGGAGTCATTTTGCAAGTAATAATAATAATCTACTTCTGCTTTTACCATAGAAGGGCGGGTTAAATAGCCAAAATTAGAAAATTAATGACTTTATCTTGAGCTAGATCCAACTTTCAAGCTCACTGGATAAAACAGGATCTCATCATTAGCGTCGACTATAAGGTCAAAAATTCCAAAGATATGATGAACATATTCTTCCTAGTGTGATAGTACATTTACTTTGTAAGTAATAATTGTCTCCCTAGTGCAACGATATAGTTTATCTTGGAAGGGATTAACATGTTCTCGAATAGTACTATCGCTCCTTTCTCCAATGATATAATAAACACTACATCAATAATAGGGATGGATATGCTCTGCCTATCAAATTTTTCAAAGATGGGATGAACTTACTCTCTCTAGTGCAATGATACATTTACTTTAAAAGTAACAAATATCTTCCTAGTCCTATGACGTAGTTTACCTTAAAAGAGATTGACATGTTCTTTCTAATATGATTATACATTTCTCCAAGGATCGGATAGACATTGTATTAACATCAAGGATGGATAGGCTATCCCCAATCAAATCTTTTAAAGATGGAATGAATTTACTCTCCTTAGTGCGATAGCACAAATACTTTGCAAGTAACAAACATCTTCGAATCTTCCTAGTTCTATAACACAGTTTACTTTTTTTGTTAGATCATGAGTTGTATTTTCTCTTTTCTTTTTGTGTTTGTCATTTTGTCATTTTCTTTAAGGTAGACCCAAAAAATAACTAATAAAATGTTATTTATTACTCTTTAAGCACCATAAAATTTTCCTTAAATATTCAACCAAAGGTGCACTTAAGCCTCAAAGGATGGCCTTGTGAGCTTGGGCTTGCAATGCATGCATGTTTGAGCTTGAAATCCAAATCTATATGTTCGGGCTTCAAAGCCCAAACTAGTTTTTTTAAAGAAAACATAAAGCAAACAATAAACAATGAGGTTTAGAGAAATAGTCTACAGAAATAACATATTATTTCTCTACAACCTTTCTTGATCACTAAACTTGTTTTTGATGACTGAAAAACCAAGGTCCAAGATCTTAGCCTCTAAATAATCAAATTTCAATCATTTTTCACCCGATAACATAAAAAAGGAAAAAAATTCTATGGACCTCGAAAACCTCATTTCCAACAGAAATTTGTTTTGAGAATTAATCTACCTTTTTTAGTATTTAAAAACCATCTTCATTTTTCATAAACATTAAAATTGAAGTTATTGATAATCGAAACAGAAAAGCTTTCTTTTTTTTTTTAACTTTTTCTTTACTCAACCTCCACAAATTAAAACTTGATGAAAATAAAATTTAAAACCAGCACAAACAACCTAAAAGAAGTGACAAAATATGAAAAAAAAAAATATATATATATATATATACACACTCTTAAAAATCAAATAAAACTTTCCCATTCCTTTTGTGAAAAATTGTTTCTTCATCTCTCATTTTATTTTTGACAAAAATACAAACTCTATTCATAAAATTGATTTTTTATTTAATGTTGAAACAGTTAATAACAAATAAAGTGTTAAAACATTTAATGACAAATCAAGTAAGCCAGAGAACAAATCAAAACATATTTCAGAGTATAAAACCACAAAAATATAAAGTTAATTAACTAAATTGAAAATTGTGCAAACCACGCAGACCAAGTGTTAGAAATTGCCTAAAAATAATATTCACAGTAACTTGTGCACGGTGAGGAGTTTTAGTTTATTTAACAATAACAATATATAATTATAAAAGACTTAAATGTAGGCTGATGTCCAGCTGCCCAACCGCAAACTCTCAAATCGCATGGTTATTTATGACATGGCAATATCCGACATGCATCTTGCATCTAAAGCTGCCTCAGGGCAGCTTCCCCCGTCCATAACATTTCCCTTGAAAACATAAGATCACTTGGTTGTATCTAGCTGGTGATGCATACAGTTTTTGTCAGCAGCTATACTATTGGAAAGAATGTACTCCAGCAAGGGCACATCGAGTATATAGATGGCAGCTCTAGCACAACTTCAAGGCTTTTCGAACCTCATTCCTTGCTCCTGCTCCCAACTGGAAAATCCCACAATAAACAGTATCCACCAAAGAAAAAAGAAACAGCCATCAATCTACCTCCGATTGTTTTTATATGCCTCTTTTGATCTATTCTTAGCTGCGCACCATGAAGTGCTGGATTGGGCTCTTGTATCCTCCTGTATCTACACAATACCTTGCACATTCCAGAAGCTCCTCAATTTTCTTTTTTCGAGTCCTCCATTCTCAAACATTCATTCCTATAACAAATTCTGATCTCCTAGTCACTATCTCCTCCATTTCATAAATAAGGCATGACAAACAGCTAGCAAATGTATATTCCAAACAATTATTGTGCTACAAAGGTACATCAAAAGAACGTTAGAATTTTACCAAACAGGTGACGAAGAGATATTTAGGCAGTAAAATGACCAGCTCATGGCACAGCGGGGAAGAGATGCTCTTTACATGCTGGCAAATCATGTTCATACCTTACATCACTCTCGCATATGAATTTGTATATGTATGTGTATTATATATCTATGCAATCAGAGCTTCACAAAAGCAACACTCTTCCCCTCCCCTGCTCTCTCTGTTATGGACATCCATAAAACAAATATATCTCCTTCTCACATGTAATTCAAGCTGGAGACTACGAACTACAGGTTGAATACCACTCAAAAGAAAACTTCAAAATGTAGATTGCAGTGCAAACACATGGAGGCTTAATATGTACTCATGTAACAGGTAAAATCAATGAACTACATGAGACAGCCAACATAATGAGCTCGTGGATATTTTCTCTGTAGTTGTGGCCATTGTACAAAAAACTGATCAGCTATCCGCAACTTGTAAAGAAGCAAACCACTTAAAGAGAGCTTCCTCACTCTCGCTATGCTCTCAACATAAAAAACAGATGACCACCTAACCCCCACCATCTGCAGGTCAAATGGATATGGTATTGCAATTAACTCCAACACAATATTAGAGAAACACAACACAAAGACTAAGGGCTGAGAGAGAAGACATATACCTTGAACAAGAATGCAATTACACAAAGAGGAACACAAGTACCAGGGCCATTGCAAAGAACCTGAGGAATGTCAGTGGCACTTAATTTAGGAATTTCTTTAGTAACACAAACGACTAGAAAAAGAATAGAAATTTTACCACTTGAGGTCTGATTCGAATCATTAGCCATAATGCATGAACCAAAGCTAGGAAAGTTGTTCCAACAGAGGTTATGTATGACTGACCAACTTCCCTACTTCTGTAAATTTGCAGGAATTGAGTAGAGCCTCCCTTACCCCCATTCTGCAATAACAAGTCAAAAGCCACTTCAAATTAGTAAAAATCCAAAATATACCATTCACAATTCTTTTCTCCTTTTAAAACCACACACAATTAAAATAAAAGATAAAAGCAACATTAAGCCTAACTCATAAAGCCAAGAATTCAATTCGACCTAAGTTCCACATTTTATACCGAGAAAGCTGAAATGAGAAAAGTTAAAAAGAGAATAATTTGATGAACCTACCAAATTAAAAACATTTTCCTCCAAAAGATGAGCTTTTTGTAAACTCATATTATCAGTAGCAGCAGCCACATAAAACCTAGGACAAAACCTATCTGTTTGCAGCAGCACATTCAACACATTAATCATCTCTGCGGTGTGTCCTCCTATAATTGACAGCAATAATAATTAATTAACATAGCTGAAAAATATTACAGTTAAAAGAATTTGTTCGAGTTACCTGATCCCAAAACAATTAAAGTGCTGAGTGATTTTGGGGATTTTGAGGGACGCAAGGGCTTGCCTGATTGACATAGAATGTAGAAAACACGGGTAATTGCAATCAAAACAATACTGACTGTGACGGTGATGATGGAAGGAGTGAAGAGACAACAATTGTCATCGTGTTGGTTCTCCATTTTCCAAATACAACTTCCAAATGTTGCCGAGGATGGAATATTGATTGAACTCGAAGAATATCTTTTACCAAACTGATAATGAATTATTTCTGAAAAAAAAAAAAGAAACAGACAATCAAGATCAACCAACAACAAGAACTCAAGCCTGATCTCCCTTTTCTTTTTTCAACTCAAATCTGATCTCAAGAATCCCAAAAATCACAGCCAAAATGAACAACCAAGAATTACCCAAAACCTCATTCAACAAATCTACAAATGGGTTTAAAAAATAAACAGAAATAAGAATTGGGTTTCTCTCTAAAAGTCACTCAATGAAGAACACAAATTAGGTTTTGGATAAATTTCACCGATTTAAGCAGCAGGGCAGATTATCTTTTACAGATAGCAGCTTTTTCGTCAACTCTATTGCTGCCAATGGATTGTTCATTCTACAGCTCGCATCATCTTAAAAAAAGTCATAGCATTCAGTCATACAAATATATATTTGTCATCGTTCTACTACTTTGTAGTTAGCACACGTGAAAGTTGGTTCAAACGGCATTAAAAGTTACAAACTGAAATTGAGAGACAAATAAACCCTGGAAATTAAAATTTGTTGTTTACAGACAGATAAGTGTTTGGGAGGGATGTAGGGAGAGAAGGAAAGTGAAAAGAAAAAAATACCATAATGGGTACTTACAAAGCCATCACTAAAAATTGCCTCGATTCCTTGCTACTAAAGAAAGATTCGCGCGCAGTGGCTGCCTGGCCGGCTTGATTTGTGATTCTAGTCGCTGGATGGCTGCTGGGGGTGGCCGCCTTGCCGATCGATGTAACTCAGACTGGAATTTAGCGAAAAGAACAAAGAGATTGAGACGCCAGGGAGTGAGGGCAGAGAGTCGGACTTGGGATAACAAGAAGACAATGAGCTGCTAGTCGTTTCACGGTTATGATTGTGATTTATAACCCAAACGATATATAAATTCATTCCAATCAGTTTTTTTTTTTTTTTGACTCACATGTAAATTTCTTTTTTAAAAAATTACATATTAAAAAAAAATTTAGTAATCTAATATATTTTTACTTATTAGTCATAATAATATGTTACTGGCTAAAACAAATATCTAGAAATAATTTTTTCAGTATTTAAATTTTTACCCAAAAATATTTAAATTTATTTTACAATTTTATCAATATATCTAACTTACTTCAATTATAATTCATAATCCAACTCATAAGTGAATATAATAATTCACATGAAATAACATTTTGTTAAAATCAAAATAACTACATCTAATTATTTATTTATAATTCTTATAATATTATATCATACAATCTAATTATTTCTAAAAATTACTTAACTCATACGAGCCTAATACACCACCACCTCAACTTATCCAATTCAAAAATGGTTTTGTAATATCCTTGCAAGAGTTATCATCAATATCACTTAACCTCACACTTTCAAAATAAACAATTTTATCTTTTATTAATGTTGCTTCGAGACGCTTAACTTTTTTAATCTCTTGAAACTCACCACAACAAAAATTAAATGTCATATTGGTCATGGCATGTATATCTTATGAATGCCTTTACTGATAATAGATGTTGTTTTTCAAGCCTCGTTTCATAAGTAATAAATCTATATACACGCATTAAAAAGTAATTAACACTTATCATTTATAATAACATTAACAACATTTTAAAAAACAATGTTGTGTGTCAATCAATTTTCAATATCGAATATCAAAACATATAATGCATCAAATTATATAAATAAATAAAAAAATGCAACCAAGTAAGTGTACTAAGCTGGTGTGTGATGGGAAAATATCATTTCATGTGTGTGTTGACACGACTAAAAGATTGATGTCTTCTCTCAAGTGCAGGAGTGTCGAAGTAATAAATAACCCGGCAAGACCGGGGTCGAACCACAGGGAGGTTAATTGTATAAATTATAAATAATAATAATACAACAACAACAACAATAACAACAACAACAACAATAATAATAGTAATAACAACAACAACAATAATAATAATAGTAATAATAATAATAATAGTAATAGTAGTAGTAGTAGTAGTATTAGTATTATTATTATTATTATTATTATTAATAGTATTAATAGTAGTAGTAATATTAATAATAATAATAATAATAATAATAATAATAAAGAAAAAGAAGAAGATGAAGATGAAGATGAGAACTTTGAGATGAAATATTAACGTAAAGATTTAACAACGATAACAATAAATGTCAAGGTTAGAGGATCCACTAATGGTATGTCAAACAAGTATAGTATAAACTTTTATTAGTCAATTGGAAACCACACACAAAGGAGGTTCCAATCAGATGATAGATTGTTAACATGATTACATTAGTCATCTTATTCGATTAATGTTAATACTTGTAAATCTCCTCAAGCATTCATGATTATAACTTATGTTAACAACAAATCAAGTTCTTTTCATAGCTCAGGTGTCGGTTATACCATACAGTATGGGCTATGAAAGTGCCAAGCATTTGTTGTACCAAGTGTTATACAACATAAATCAAGATTAGTCATTTAACAAGCAAAGTATTAAAGAGTGAACAAAATAAAAAATATAAAACATGTTAGTATAAAACATTAAAGTCTATATTAAGTTTATACTATACTTATTCTTACACCATTAGTGTAACCTTTTCACCTTGACATAATAAACTTAGCTAGACATAATGAAAGAAAGAAAAATAAATAAACAAAATAAGAACATGAATAAGATTAAAGTTAAATAAGTAAATGAAAGGAAATGAAAGGCATAAACTTGATATTAATGAAAACAAAGCATAAACATTATAAAAAATACAAAGAGAGAAAGCAAGAGCATGATCTTGATCTGGACACCAAGATGCCTAAATGCATGGTAAATGCCTCCTTTTATAGGCCAAAATTGGGAACTATTGATTTGATGACTAATTCATGAGTGGGTAACCAACTCTTGACTTGGTGACAATCCTTATCTTCTCTTGTCTGCCCAAAATGTCATTGATAATGTCAAAATTGGATCCACTTGAAAACATAAAAGTTGTAGGCAATTGTCTCAGCTTTCTTATGTAAAAACTTTAGCTCATTTGAACTTCTAGAACTCCAGATATGGCTAAAATACTGAACAATGCTCGGGCTGGAGGACAGATTCGGGCTTCTTTGTTGTTGCAATAATTTGGACTTGAAAATGACCTTTTTAGATCTTGGGCTCCATATGAAAGTTGTAGGCCTATGTCTTACCTTTCCATCCATATAAAGTAAACCTAAATCTGAGATCTATAGCTCCAGATATGACCCAATTACCGAACAGTGTTCCGGTTTGGATTGCACCGACATCTCTTTTCTAATTTTGGTCGTCTCTTTGCCCTTGCAATTTAAGTTCTTAAAGTCATCAATCAATCCTTTCATTTATGTGATAGGCCTGCATTTAAAATGAACATTTACCACAAATTAAAGGTATCTTATATTATTAGATATATTATTATAAAACATGCTTTAGTTAAGGAGTTATTGATACTTTAAGTGCAAAATGATGATATAAAACCATGATAAAAATGCACTTTTAAATACTAATCACACCCCCCAACCAGCTTATTACTAGTCCCTAGTAATCAAACCGTTAAAATAGAAAAACAATTTGCAAATTCCACAGAGTAAGGTATTCATCATTGAACTTCCATTAATCTATCCAGATAAACAAACTCTCATTAAATTTATATATCTGCTCAATACCTCTTAACAAGATATTAATAAACCTTTCTTTTATGCTCAATTTATCAACACATAATTATGGGGCTTTTCTTGGACGAAAACAAAATTTTTGTTTTAATGTTTAAGGTTAACTTCCTTAGATTGGAATTATTATTTTTTTGTCTTTTTTTTCTTATATATATATATATATACATACACACACACACACACACACACACACACATATAACTTAAAACACCATGCATCTTTAACCCATGTAACGAGCTTTCGGCTAATGACTCTCAGACCAGTTGGTCTTAAGGCATTAGGTGTTAAGACACCCCTACGAGCTTAGTAACTCGGGTCGTAGATACTGATATATAGATAGTGCAATGTTTGATTTCCTTAAGCTTTTCTCCTCAACCCATGTAACAAGCGTTGGGCCAATAGCTCCCAAGTCAGTTGACTTTAGGGTATTAGGTGTTAAAACACCCCTTCAGACTTAATTGCTTAGGTTAGGGAGGCTACGAAACCAAACTTATCTACATTTTTATTATTATCATTTTTTTCTTTTTTTTCTTTTTTTTTAATTATATACTATCTCTTTCTCTTAGTTGTTACCTTTAACAAAAGAACATAAATAATGTAATAATCCAATATGCAACCCACAATCATATGTTAAAGTGTGTGTGTGTAAATTAAGGTTTAAGAATACATGTTAAATAAGTATATGAGCAGAATTAAGTGATAACAATGCGAGAGTTTGTAAATCTAAATATTTCAAGAAGTATTATAATAGTCCTTGTTACGAATAGTTATTAAGATGCATCTCCAGAGTCATAAAAGTTCTCCTTACTCTGCCATCATAATAACAACAATTTTGCACATGCTTTATGAAATAGAAAATACAGTTTTTTTTTTAGCTACTACCCTCTCCCCCCAACTAAAACAAAACATTGTCCTCAATGTTTAAAGGTAGAAAGATAGAGTATAGAAGATATCACCTGAAATAATGAACACTGACAAACCTGAAACACACTGAAACAAATATAAGTAACAACAAAACACAATAATAAAATCAAAAGACACAAAAATTCACAAATGAAGGCTCAAATCCAATCTAAACTTTTTACGGCTTTTCTAAGTTGACCAATTTATGCCACTCATGGAAGGATCAATTACAGGAATGAAATATTGTAGTTGGTCAATCAATTGTTCAGCAGTAGCGGCAGAGATTATGATTTGTCGTGCAGAAGATGTTAGAAATTCCTATTCCACAGCATGATCAAGAAAAAACAACAACTTATCATAATAACCATTAACATTTAACAAACCTATGGGTTTATGGTGAACGTGCAGTTGAGCCCAAGAGGAAATATGAAAGATCTCTTCCAATGTACCTAGACTACCTGGTAAAGCAATGAAGGCATCAGCATGGTTAAACATTGCATTCATTCGAGCTGACATTGTGGAGACCTGAAGTTCCTCTCCAATTATTTTTCTAATGATGTCCCCTTGTGCTAAAGCTTCGAGGACAACCCCCAAAACTTGACTACCTCCTAAAAATGCAGCTATTGACACACCTCCCATTAACCCAAGACTGCCTCCCCCATACACTAAATGAATCTTTCTCTCAGCTAGCACTTGACCAAGATGATTTGTTGATTCTAAAAACTCCTTTTCTTTCCCAGGACTAGATCCACCAAAAACACAAAAATTTCTTATATGATGACTTGAGGAACTTGCCATTTCTACACACTTCTATATTTGTTGAATGTATGGGTTGAGTAGAAATGAAAGGAAGGAAGAGAGGGTTTTATAGATGAGAAAATAGAAAGGCGATCATAACACCTATATATAGGCCAACTAGAGTCTCACTCTCTCTCTCTCTCTTTTTATTTATTTACTTTTGAAAAAGCATGTGTATGTACAGGTAGTTGTGATTGTGGCTCACATCTTCCCTTGGTTTTACGTCCAAGAACGGCTTAAACGCCCTCTATGGGTCGGGGATAGGCTTTCCATCCAGTTTTCTTAAAAACTGGCAAACAGG